TTCTTCTTCTTCTTCTTCTTCTTCTTCTTCTTCTTCTTCTTCTTCTTCTTCTTCTTCTTCTTCTTCTTCTTCTTCTTCTTCTTCTCGAGCTCGTGCTCCTCCCCCTCCTTCTCCTCCTTCTCTTCCTCCGCCTCCTCTTCCACCTCCCCTCTCTTCCTCCTTCCTATAAATATTATATAAGTTGAATTTGCACAGCCTTTTCACATTTTTTTGTCCCTTTTCCTTTCTGCACCCTTCTAAAAAAAGGTGATTTTTCTTCCCCTCGTGGACACCTTTCATTTTGTGTGAATCAATCAAGCCTGACACCTCTCTCTTTCTCGCCTCAGTGTCCATCTCCCTGTTTAATGCCTCATTCTCTCTCTCTCTCTCTCTCTCTCTCTCTCTCTCTCTCTCTCTCTCTCTCTCTCTCTCTTTGTGTCACTCTGTCTCTCTAGCTAGACTAGCTTTAACAGTACAAGTGCATGTATACGGTGAATGAGTATGATTCCAAGGTTGCCGTTTCTATCTCTTCTCTATCGGCAGTCAAAGTTACCGTTGCCTCAGAAATAGTTTGCCCGGTGCTGCGTTAACTCAAAACCTTCACCGTGGTATGTCCTGTCGACTAAAACAGTGACCAAGTGGTGACTCAAGAGGAAAAAAACGACATAAAAAGTCTGCTTGAACCCCCATTCTTAAAAACAAGTTGAAATGAGTGTCCTTTTCACATTACGCCAAGGCTACCCACATTTGGCCTCACAGAGAATGGGGACATTGGATGTGCTCAGCTAGCCAAGTAAGTTCGGAATGGAGGAGGGCTCAAGCAGACTTTTAGTTAATGAAAAACCTTTCTTCTGATAGGCCCTACCTGTAGACCAACGAGGAAAACACGTGTGGCAAACACAGCCAAACAACAGCTCTTATAGTTACAGTAAAGTAAAACATTTGCAACTTATCCCCAAATATCTCTTCAATGGGGGAATCAAGGTAACCCATAGATCTACTTTAAATAGCAGTTTGCATTAATTTGTCTAAACCTAGTCATATTTTTTCCACAACAATAGAGGCTTAGATTTAAGAAACACCCAACTTTTCTTCATAAATATATAGCTTATAAATACCACAAATAACCGTCCCGCAGAAAATGGGAATGTTCACGTAACTCATCGCTTCTCACACGAGTATATTTTGCCTACGTTTGTGGCCCATGTCACAACTCACCAATCTCACTTTTTAGTGGTAAAACTTTAGCCCACGCATAATTACGATTTCCTGATAAAAGACAAGTGATAATATAAAGAATTTCTGCTCATACTTTATTACTAGTCTGATCAGAAGTAGTAATATGAAGGTGAGGATGAATTACAGTCGGATATTGCGACCTTGGTTTGATGCTGTCCTTTTTGACTTTGTTAGATACCGATGAGAAAGTTTTGTTCCATCCATCAGTTGACTAAAAAGGCTAAAAACATGAATTAAACATGGTGTTGCGATTAGAAAAAAGGACGGACTTATTTTTAATAAGTGCTTTAGTTACAGCACAAGCTAACTACATGTACTTTCAATGGTAGAATTTGAGCCGTAAAAAGGCACATAAGCATAGTAATGATCGTAAAGTGATGATATAAAGCAAGACAGCTCATAACAACTTGTAGGAAACAATTGAAAGGAATCAATACAAGGAAATATCACACGAGAACTTTAACGTAACAAAAGAATTTACCGCTTCCGGTTCTGGAGGTGGTCTCATTTTGACACAAACGAAGTGGACCCTGGTAAGTTCTGGTTGAGATAAAGAGAGCAATGAATATGTTAGGACAATGTGCTCGACCCACAGAGTCAGAAAATCACGAATCTGTCAATCTGTATGAACTGTGATAGCCGTGGCAGGAGATGTGGGACAACCATAGAGCTATCTACTAATAGTGTACATCTTTAAAGACAACTTTGACGTCATTTAAATATGTGGCTAGGCCGATACAGGCAAGAAATATATCTGTTTACAGGCAGTGGAAGGAAATACAAGAACCCCTAGATCTAGTCTTTTACATGGATATTTGTCATGGGCACAGGCTGGGATGATAATAGATTATGTCACAGGTCTGCTCAGTAATTTATCGACCCTCACACCAAAAGTGTTCCGCCAACTAGAGACGGGCGGGAAGCGCTTTTTCCTTCCCGAGCGAGAAGACCGAGTAGCTAACCTATTTCTCGCCCTGACCGGTCCCGGGATCGAGAAATACTTCGTGTCTCGAGTCTCGAGCAATACTTCTCGTCTCGTGACCAATTTCTCTTCTCGCCCCGCAGTTCGAGCCGCTCGTTCAGCGAGAAGGCCGACCGTGGCCGAGATTTCTCTTCTCGTCCCACAGAATGAGCAACTCGTTTAGCGGGAAGGCCGGTCGTTGCGGGGATCTAAACTTAGAAACTAGGCTTGCCCTGGTGCGCTGGCGCAGGCGGTGAAGGAAGGTAGGGAGACGACCTAGGCCTAGGCCCTGATCAACTCCCCACTCGCCTCGTCTCGCCCCCCCCCCCCCCCCCTTTCAGTTTCACACACAGGACGGCACGGGGATGGGTGGCACTGTCTGCGTTGTCATTTCTCGCCTCTCACTCTCTCACTCTCGTTACTGTTACTCGTTATGTCAAGCCAACGAGCAGTATCACTTCTCGGTACCGGGCAGTAGTTTAGTGCTCGGGAAGTGACGGGAAGGTTATTTCCCGCGAGAAACGGGTACTCGGCTCGTCTCGTGCCCGCCCCTACCGCCAATTAATCTCCACTGGCCCTTGAAACCCCACCAAAGTTACTTTGATTTCAACAAACTGGTTAATGTTTTGAGCAGCATTCTTTCCACTTGCTCCCCCCCCTTTTCCCCCAAAGAGTGGTTTGTTTATCGTTAGTTCGGTATTGACCTATGTTCTACTACCCAAACAATCTGTTTTTGTCCAGCTGTGCATTAAATGCAAACAGTAAAGCGATGAAGAATGTCTGATAAATCGCGTAAGATAGTGCCTCAAATGTCAGACAAAAATTAAATCATATTAATTTTGCTCTCAGCCTGACAAAGTTGTACACCCCATGTATATCACGTCTACTCTGTTTTCTAATCATTTTTCAATCAGTTGTCATAAACAAATGACGGTGGGTGGTTGGCGGGTGCTCTGGTGTGGTTTGCTTCTTCTTTCCTATGAAACATCTATCGTCCTTATCTCCCCTTCTTCTTCTTTTATGTTTGTTACTCTCTTGTGACACCTCTGATCTTCTGGCGCTCATATGACCTTATGCAGTTGCGAGCGCCGTAAAACCTCTACTTAAAAAAAAACAAATGACACTATAGACACCTTCATTCCCTTTGCATAGTTTTCCATAAATAGAATATAGCTGCTGAATTGATTAAAAATAGTTTTGAGTTTGAATTCCACTTTGTTAATGTCGTGATACTTCAGCATTCAAGAAAATATTAACTTTGTGTAAAGTTGCAGTTTATCTTACTTTAACAATTCACTTCATTTTTCACCTTTCAGTTACAACATGTCGAGCTCATTATTTTGATTGTCTAGCTAAAGTACTCATTTATCATGCACAGTGTCAGAATTATAACCCATTATTACAGCGGGAAAAAGCTTTTAACTCACGAGACTAATACTAACAATACACAAGTGCTGAGCGCAAGCCTATTCATTCAGGTTCCAGTACACAGATATTGTATAAGACGTCGACAATCAGTACATGCAACAT